ATTTGGGAATTGGTGGGGCCCCTCGGATTCTTTAGGATTCCCTAAGAGGCACTCCCAGGAATCTGGCAATCGGTGCGATCCTTCGGATTCCTATCCTAGGAAGGCCTCCCAGTGATTTCGGGATTCGTATGACACTGGAGAAAAACCCAATCAGATTTTTGTTGGAGCTATGGGGCTGTAGGGCTATAAAGCTATAAGGTTATGAGGCTATAGGGCTATAGGGCTATAGGGCTATTGGGCTATAAGGCTATAGGGCTATAAGGCTGTAGAGCTATAGGGCTATAGGGCTATAAGGCTATGGGGCGATCGGGCTATAGGGCTATTGGGCTATAGGGCTATGGGGCTATAAAACTATAGGGCTATAAAGCTATTGGGCTATATGCTATTGGGCTATTGAGCACCCCGGGCACCCGGGCACCCGGGCCCGGCCACCGAAATTGGCCACGCACCTCACCGGCCACCTGGGCACCCGGGCACCGCCGGGCATCCGGGCACCCGGGCACCCGGGCCCGGCCACCGAAATCGGCGACCCACCTCACTGAAACCTTCAATCCGCTAGGACCCCTACAGAGGCAACCTCTGATTGGGGGAATATTCCTGAGAACGCTTAAGATTCCCTAAACGGCCCTCTCTGGAATCTGGTAATTGGTGGGATCCTGAGGAATTCCTGGGATTCCCCAGGAGGCCCTCCCATGAATCTGGGAATTGATACGATCTCTCGGAATTCTCAGGATTCCTGAGGGACCCTTCAAGGAATCTGGCAATTGGTGCGATCCTTCGGATTTGGGAATTGGTAGGGTTCTTGAGAATGCTTAAAATTCCTTATCAGGCCCTCTCTGGAATCTGGTAATTGGTAGGATCCCTCGGAATCCCTACCAGTCCGTAGGAGGCCCTTCCAGGGGTCAAGGAATGGGTGGGGTCCCTTGGAATTCCTAGGAGTCGTCAAGGGGCCCTCTCTGGAATCTGGCAATTGGTGGGATCCCTCGGGATCGCGAGGGTTCCCTAGGCGCCCCCCCCCTCCCAAGAATCCGGGAGTTGGTGGGATCCCGAGGAATCCCCCGGATTCCTTAAGATGCCCTCTCAGGCATCTGGCAATTGGTGGGATCCGGAGGAATTTCTAGGATTCCCCAGGAGGCCCTCCCTGGAATCTAGGAATTCGTAGGATCCTTAAGAATTCTTAGGTTTCCCGAAGAGGCCACCTCAATAATCTTGCAATTGGTAAGATCCAGAAGAATTCCCAGGATTCCCTCGGAGGACCTCCCAGGAATCTGGGAAGTGGTCGGATCCTTCGGACTTCGTAGGACTTCCTTAGAGGCCCTCTCAGGAATCAGGCAATTGGTGGGGATCCCTAGGGGTTCCTTGGATTCCTTAGGAGGCCCTCCCAGGAATTCTGGGCACTGCTCGGACCCCTAAGAATTCTTAGGACCCCCTAAAGGGCCATCTCAGGAATCATGAAAGTTGTAGAACCCCTAGGAATTCCTAGGATTCTCTAGGAGGCCCTCCAATGAATCTGGGAATTGGTAGAATCCTTCGGGTTTCGTAGGATTCCCTCGGAGGCCCTCTCAGGAATCTGGCAATTGCTAGGATCCCTAGGGATTCCTGGGATTCCCTCGGATGCCCCCCCCGGTACGTCAAATGTAGTGCTATAGAAAACATCATGAGGTGCACCGCATAGCACGGCACCACCGCGCGCGCCGCACGGGGTTCCCTAAGAGGACCTCTCAGGAATCTGGCGATTGGTGGGATCCCTAGGGATTCCTAGGAGGCCCTCCGAGGGACGGCAAAGGTAGTGCTATATAACACATCATAAGGTGCACCATACAGCACTGCACCACCGCGCGCGCCGCACGCACCGCACACACTGCACACACCGCGCACTCGGCGGACACCGGACACACCCCGCACACCACACAAGCCACACACACACACCGTACACACCGCGCACACACACACACACACGCCGCACATACAGTAAACGTAGAGCACACATTCACAGCACGCATACACAGCACACACAGCACACACATCACACACACAGCACACACGCACACACATTCAGCACACAAGCGCGCGCACGCGCCGACTGGTCCATTCCCCGGTTTCTTTGTCGGAAACCAAATGATTACAAATAAATCCACTACTCTGTTCTGGGAACTTTGTGGGGCGACCCCGTGTGAAACATTCGCAACAAAGACACCAGAACACTGGTCCATTCCCCGGTGGCGCCGGGGAATGAACCAGTTTATCGGGGTATGAACCAATTTACCGGGGAAAAGCGGAGATGCATGCCGCTACGCCCAAGACCTCTTCCGGGGTGCGCTCTGACTAGGACTTCGAGGCGAAGCCAGCGGTGGCGACTGGGGCCTCCCAGGAGGCCCAAGAAGGAGAAAACGGGCGAAGGGTAGAGGTCTGGGTACCTTTTCTCAAGGCCTCCTAGAGGGGGTCCGAGGGGTCGGAGGATCGCGCCGCATCGCCAACGCATCGGCGATGCATCGACGATGCATCGGCAATGCACTGGCGACCTCGGCGATGCATCGGCGACGTCGGCGTGGCGAAAAACAGCCTCCACATCGAGCCGCATCGGCGATGCAGCGCCGAGGCATGGGCGATGCATCGGCGATGCAGCGCGGTCTTCCGACCTCAGCAACTCGCACCCCATCTGGGAGGCCCAGAACGAAACGCATCACGTTGGCTGCCGCCACCTCCTGCCGACCTTCCGCTGGTGGACCTCTGCCGCCACGCCGCTGCCTGCGATCGATACTTTCCCGCCTCCCAAGGGGGGCGATGGCGACGCTCTCCAGATCGGTGGATCTGTGGGGCGTTCCAAAAAGGGAGATGCCTTCGAGGATCGGAGGAGTGGCCACCTCGTCCGCGGCGGAAGGGGGCGGAAGCTGGCGGAAGTGCAACATGCGCCCCCAAGAGATGAACACATTTTCGGGTTCAGGGTTGCTGGAATCGTCCGTGTGGAACCATCGCCGGCGTGGAGGAACGGATCAAACGCCAGTGGGGTGGGATCTCCTTCCCTTCGCCTCCATGCGCGCGGTTGGCGATCCGCAGTGGCCTCCTCAGGCCCTGACTCCGAGCATGTTGACAGCCCGCGTTGACTTCCGCCGCTTTCCGCCGACCCCGAGAGCGAGGCCCTTTCTCACACTCCGCTGCGCGCAGGGGCCACCTTAGACAAGGGTGGCCTTTGTCGCGTGGCTTTCGGGGGCCGCGGGGAGGCCAACTCCGAGCGCGCGAGGGGACCCGTTGTGGGCCCGCACCCAGAGGTCACTCCGGCGAAGGGCCACCCTGACGCGCAGCCGACACGTGCCCGGTCCGAGTCCTGGGTCGCAGGCCGCCCGATGAGCGGCAGCTGGCTCGGCGCGCCCCCCGCCGTGCCCGCGGGCCCGGCGGAGTGCGAGCGTGCGGCGCCCAGGGCTGCAGAGGCCCGCGTGCCTGAGGCGATCCACAAAAAGATATCCTCTGCACTCGGCGACAGGCACTCGGCTGAGCAGGGACCGGCCGATCCCGGCATTCCTATATAGGCCTGCCACGGATTCTTCCTATAGAACCCAAAGGTGTTCTGAGGACAACAAAGATGCCCTCAGAACACAAACCCGATGTGTTGAGACAGGACGACCTCGGCCAGAAGTGTTCTGAGAACACCTCGTGCAGTTCACGAGAAACCCGTAGAACATTCTCTGGTGGGCCTGTAGGCAAGCCGGGCAGGGCCTCTTCGCCACTGCTTGACTGGAGGGGTCTCCCCCTCGACGGGCGTCCGCCTCGCCTCGTCGGCCGCGCCGCGCCGCATGCCTGGAGCGCCCTCAGCACGCGGGTGCTTGCCCGCGCCAGGGTCGGCTTGGGGCCGCTGGCGGGGGTGGGCCCCTCCGCCCTCGGCTCTTGCAGTCGGCCCGTATCAGAAGGATGCGCGTTCAGGATGCAAGGGCCCTGGAAGGCCATCTCGAAGCTCCGCAGGCGGGGCGCGGCCAGCGAAAGTGGCCAAGGATGGGCCGAGGAGGCCAGGATGCAAGGGTACCCTTGGGAAGGTTACCCATCCTTGCTATGCAGGTTGACTGTATTATGGAACTCGGAGTGGGCGTCGCAAGACACAAGCGTAACGAATGACAGCCGAACGACAAGATACAAGGCAGCGCGTATCCGCCACAGCGCCCACATGATGCGGGCGTGCTAGTATGCCAGGTGCTGCTTAGGGCTTCTGTATTCGAGCATGGCCCCCCCCCTCTACCAGCAGATTGTCGCTTGCAAGGCGGCGATCCCTTGCACAAAAAGCTGATAGAGCTACGATCCCCGACCTTGGAACACAGGTGGGCAGGACTTACGAGAAAGAGAAAACTTAGGAGGGGGATTCAAGCCATGTGTCTCATCGGCCACCGTGCCGCGAGGGACGAGTTGGAGTGTTCTCAGATCCCCTGTAGTCCTCCATCCTGAGTCCCCAGGATTGAATAATCTACGCCGCCTATGGCGAATCACCGCCGTCCCCTGTCTTTTGGAAACGCCCGTGCGGCCAAACGTTGGGCCGAAGTCTGGCCAAGCTATTGGACTATGTGTTCACCCAGTCGTTGTGGACCCCCCTGGGAGAACACTGGGGAAAGGAATAGACATGAGGAGGAGAGGGAGGGGGAGGAGAAGAAGGAGGAGAAAGCCTCTTGAGGCCCTCTTTTAGGCGCCCGGGGGCCCTACTTGGAGCCTCTTGTGGGGCTATACGGGGCCTCTTGGGGCCTCTTGAGGACCTTTTGGGGTTCTCGTGAAGCCCCTTGGGGGCCAACTGAGGGCCTCCGTGGGCCCTCTTCGCCTTCGGAAGCCGTCTTGGGGCTCGCTTCAGGGGGCTCCCAGGCCGGCCTCGAGAGGCCCCTGGGTCGGCCCAAAGAGCCGCCCAAGGAGCCTCCAACGGCCCCCCAGAGGCCCAAGGAAGCCCCCAAGAGACCTCCAAGGGCCCCCGGGAAGCTCCCAGGAGGCTCCAAGAGTGCCCCAAGAGGCTCCCAAGTCCTCCTCCTCCTCCCCCTTGTTCCTCCCTCTCCTCCTCTTCCTCTTCTTCTTCTTCTTCTTCTTCTTTCTCCCCCACGTGTTCCGCGAAGGGCTTCCACAACGGCTGGGGGACCACATAGTCAGATAGCTTGGCCGAGCTCTGGCCGCAACGTTCGGCCACGTGGGCGCTTCCAAGAGGCAGGAGGCGGCGGTGATTCGCCGTTCGGCGTCTTCGATATGCAATGCGTTCTGCTTGCCAGGGAGCGCGCTTCTCCGAGATCAGCCGGCACCGAATTGGGAAACCGGATCGCATCAGAACGTGCACTGCATCGGGCCGCACCGGCACGGAGTCGAACTCGAATCTTATCGGCGCGCCACGATGCACGGGATCGGGCCACGTTGGATCGCCAGGACATCGATGTCGGATCGGATCGAGCTGGGTGAACGCAGCATCGGATCGGATCCCATCGAACCGAAATGAGCCCGGGCTTGTCTCGGGCCGTTTCCTCTATAGTATCCTCCTCCATTTCCCCCCTCGCCTCCTCCTCCTCTCTTCCTCCTACAAAACTTCCCCCAAAGGTTTCCATGACGGCTGGGGGAACACAGTCCGATAGCTTGGCCGAGCTCTGGCCGCAACGTTCGGCGCCTCCAAAAGGCAGGGGGCGGCGTCTTCGATATATGCAACACATTATCCTCGCAAAGGAGCGCGAATTCTGCCGTGAGCTTTGCAGAGCTTTTGTTTGTCTGCGGCTTGCCACGGAAGCAGGCTCTCGAGCGCCTGCGCCAACGGTCCCAAGACGGCTGCCACGGCAGCCACCCACACACGAGTGCGACGCGAAGCGTCTGTATTGTACAAGCACTTGGCGCTCAGCGTCCGACTAATATTCACCATCCACTGCACCTCCACGAGGTGCATCAATACAAGCAGCACTGAGAACTGCAAGTGCTATCAACATAATTGAAAACTCAAGCCAGTGCAGATCCCGCCGTGAGCTTTGGTAAAGGGAGCGAAGAATAACCTAAACATCAAATCTCGGAGATCCGCGCGGATTTCTCGGATCGGCGCTGGACCCCCCTCCCTGGCACGCGGAGCGCGCCAGGGGCGGCGCCGCCAGGAGGGTCCAGCGCGGATCCGAGAAATCCGCGCGGATCTCCGACACTTCAAGCTTATGGTTATTTTTCGTTCCCCTATTTGCGGAGCCCCGCCCGGGCCCTCGTCTGGCTGCGCCGCCATCCGAGCCGGCGACGTGCTCGCGGCCCCAGTGATCCCCGGGCCCCGCCCGCCAGGCGCGGGGGGGCCCGCGCCCGGCGCACGCCCGAAGTGCACCTTGGGGGGCTGGGGCTCCGAAAAGTCATCAATTCGGATGCGCTGCTGTTTTCTTATTACAATATTATAACTCATATATATATATATATATATATATGAATGCAGATGTGTGTTTTCATTCACATTTACACATATACATTTATGTATATGTATATATATGTATGTATGTTAGCCAGCAAGGACACCAATAGTGCTCGCTCAGTGATATATGTGGTGCAATATATGTGATGCAGTCCGTGTGGGACAATATATATATATATATATATATATGTTGCGTACTCTGTATATATATATATATGTTGTACAACCCGTGGGTGCAGTCTATGTTGTGCAAGCTATGCAGTGAATTACATGCTGGGAGCCCCGATGTTGTGCAATCTATGTGATGCAACCTGTGTTGTGCAATATAGGTCGGCCAATCTGTGTTGTGCGATCTAGGTGGTGCAACTTGCGTACTGCCTTCCATGTGGCGTAGTCGATGTTGTGCAAAATATGAGGTGCGATCTACGTGGTGCAATATATGTGGTGAAATGGATTTTTACCAATGATTTGACACATCCCACGCTCTTGCAAACATCCCACCCACCCACCCGCAACTTGGTTTGCAAAACCTCTTAAGACCGACTGCGACGACACCGACGACAACGACTACGACGACACCGACGACATCTCCGACGACTTCGGCGACGGCAACGTCGCCGACGCCGACGACGACGAAAACGACGACGACGCCAACGAAGACGACGACGAGGGAGGAGGAAGGACGACGACGGCGACAACGACGACAACGACGACAACGACGAGGGAGGAGGGAGGACGGCGACGACGCGAACGACGAAGAAGGAGGAAGAACGGCGACGCCGACGACGACAACGACGAGGGAGGAGGGACGACGACGACGACGACGACGACGACGACGGCGACGAAATAGGAGGGACGACGACGAGACGCCGACGACGGACGACGACGACGACGACGACGACGACGGGACGGACGGAGGAAGGACGACCACGACGTACGACGACGACGAACACGAGGAAAGACAGAGGACGACGTAGGCGACGACGACGATGACGACGCGGGAGGAGGGAGGACGGCGACGACGACGACGACGACGCAAGAACGCGCGCGCTCGCTTTTGTTGAAAATCCGTGTTGCGAAACCTGGTATTTTTGTAGGTTTTTTGGACACACGATTTTGAAATCCTTCCGGAACCGATGGGTTCTGAAGGATTTCGGCATACGCGCGCGACGACGCGGGCGTCCGCACTTCGTCTTATTTTTTGCAGAAAGGGTTCTCGCGACGGCACACGCGCAAGGGCGTTCGACAGACTTCGACATGCGCCCGCGCGAAGCCCGTTTGGTAGTTTTCGCAAAAATCTTGAAAAACCTATGGTTTCTTAAGATTTCGCAAGAGCTCGCGCGTAAACTTTTTTAGCAAATCAGTGTTGCGAAACCCTGACTTTTTGTATGTTTTTTTGGAAACTCGATTGCGAAATCCTTCCGGCACCGAAAGTTTTTGAAGGATTTCGGCATGCGCGCGCGACGACGCGCGCGTGTGCACTTCGTTTTTTTTTTGTTTCCAAAGGATTCATGAACAAGTCTTATGATAGAGCAAAAACTGCCACCGCATATATATATATATATATATATATATATATATAGAACAAAGGAATCTCAAGGGGGGGATACCGGTTGGCCTGGGACATTGTGATTTCCTATTTTGGATGGACATGTGGTCATAATCGTATGTGCTTTACATACCCGAAAAAGGGGAGTGATAACTCCGGGGGGGGTAGAGTCTATTCTGTTTTTAGAAAAAAGAATTCACTTGCCGAACTTAAAGATGTCAACTCCAGTGCTCGCGCAATCACCCCACCCACCCATCCGCAACTTGGTTTACAGAACCCACGCGGGAGCGATTGCGATGAGTGCTGGGTGTTGGCTGGTGCATCTATCTCTGCGGCCGCGCTAGCCCGCGCATGCTCGCGCGCGCAGCGGCCAGCCAGTTTGGCGCGACCGACGCGAAGGCGGTGGCACTGACCGCTCGGCACACCCCAGCGGGCACTTCACTGCGATTCTGCGACTTGGGCGGGCGCGGTATCATGGCAACGTCGACATCGGTACACACGATGATGGTAGTGGCGATGCTGGTGACGATGCTGACAGCTACGACGGGGCAGCCAGGCGCCGATGCTGATCGCGCCGACGACGATGACGGTGTCGTCGCGTCGGTGATGAAGGTTTTGGAAGGAATTCGAAATGCGCGCGCGGCAGACGCGCGAGGATGGTTCGCATAGTATTATTTGACACGGATCCTGCCACCCCAGCGCGCGCGCAAAGGGCGTTCGAACGATTTCGACATGCGCGTGCGCGAAGCCAGGTTGGTAGCATTTTATGAAATTTTGAGGCACTTATGGATTCCGTAAGAATTCGCAAGAGCGCGCAAGCTTTGGTTTAGCATCTGGCTGCGAAACTTTATAGATAATAGAAAAATATGAGTATGCGTTTGTTTGGTCACTCGATATATATATATATATATATATATATATATATGTGTCTATACATATGTACAACCGTCCGAAACCTCAGGTTTTGAAAGATTTTAGCATGCGCGCGACGACGCGCGCGTGTGCACTTCGTCCCATTGTTTGAAACAGATTTTTGGAAACTGTAGATGAACGAATGTGCGCGCATAGTATTTCTTGTGCAAGGGAACCGAAGGGGGGCGCCGATGCTGGCCTGGCTGGGATAGTATGAGTTCTTAGGTCAGATGGACATTGGGTCACAATCGTGTGCGTTTTGCATCGGTCCCCGGGGGATCGATAAGTCCGAGGGGGGGGTAAAACCAGATCCTTTCTAGAAAAGAGAATTGGCTTTAACAAACGAGCTCGCACATCCCATGTTTTTTTGTTGCAAATATCCCACCCACCCACCCGCAACTTGGTTTGTGCGGTGGCGATTGCGATGCATGCTTGGCGTTGGCTGGTGCATCTCTGCGGCCGCGCCAACCCTAGCACGCGCGCGCAGCCGCCAACTAGTTTGGCGCCACCGATGCGGCCGCGGTGGCGCTGACCGCTGGGCACATCCCAGCGGGCACTTACCTGCGAGACGGCGGCTTGGACGGGCGCGGTATCATGGCAACGTCGGCATCGGTACACACGATGTAGTAGCGATGCTGGTAACGATGCTGAGCCGGCGAAGGCGCGGCCAATGAGGGCGCCGATGCTGATCGCTCCGACGACGATGACGGCGTCCTCGCGTCGGTGATGAAGGTTTTGGAAAAAGTTCGACATGCGCGCGCGGCCGACGCGCGAGAATGGCCCGCATTGTCTTATTTGACGCGGATCGTGCCCTCCCAGCACGCGCGCAACGGCGTGCGAAGGATGTCGGCATGCGGCGCTAGAGGCCCCTTTGTCAGAATTCGGCATGTTGAACAACCTATGGTTTCTTGAGAACGCGCAAGATCGCGAGCGCGCGCTTGTTTGAAAACGGATGTTGGGAAACCATGTGTTTTTGTTTGTGTTTTGAAAACTCGGTATTGCAAGGGCTGCGACACGGCAGGTTTTTGATGGATTTCGACATGCGCGCGCAGCGACGCGCGCGCACTTCGTCACAATTTCGCAGAAGGGATTCTCGCGACGGCACGCGCGCAAGGGCGTTCGAACGCCGCGCGCTCGAAGCCCGTCTGGTAGTTTTTTTGTTTTTCCTGAAAATGTGGAAACACATTTTTCAATAATAATCCAGCCAACAATAACATGAAAACATACAAAGAAAAACGAATCACAAGAACGCGCGAACATTTTTTGATTTGTTAACAAAAAAATCGGTGTTGCGAGACCATCCGTTTACTGATCTGATTGTTGGACACTCGATTGTGACGCCCTTACGACAACGAGCGTTTTTCATATAACACATGAAAGCAATATTTTGGCATGCGCGCGCGACGACGTGCGCGCGTGCACTTCGCCGCGTTTTGAAAAGGGTTCTTGAGAACTTAGGTTTCTTGATGAACGAGTGCGCGAGCATAGTATGTTTTGCAATGCAAAAGGATGGCGGGGGGGGGGGCGATGCCGGCTGGGCAGGGATGGGACGTGCCCATGTTTAGGATGGGCGATGGGGCAGAAACACTTGTACATTTGATGCGAAAAATGGTGTCGATGATCCCGGGGGGGGGGGGTAAGTCTCTTTCCTCTTAGAAAGGAGAATCTATGTAGACCAGTGTATGTGGTTCAATGTATGGGGCGCAGTCTATTTTGTGCAAGGCACTCTATTTTGTGCAATCTATGTAGCGCAATCTGCGTGGTGCAATCCATGTGGTGCGCAAAATATGTTGTGCAATCTGCGTGGCATGCGCTCGAGGTGGGCGGCCGCGGGGCGGCGGCGGGGCAGCGATTGCGGCGACGTAGCCACCAGACCGAACCGCCGCGCCAACCCGGGCGGCGGGCGGCAATGGCGCGGCGACGGGCGGCGACGGCGGCAACGCAACCGCCGGACCGCCACGCCGGGCCAGAGGGCGGGCGGCGACGAGGCGCGGGGCGGCGACGGCGGCAACATATCCGCCAGACCGCCACGCCGGCCCAGACTAATCGCGGCGACGAGGCGGCGACGGCGCGGCGACGGCGGCAACGCAGCGGTCAGACAGCCGCGCCAGCCCAGCCGACGGGCGGCGACGAGGCGGCGACGAGGCGGCCACGACGGCAACGTGGCCGCTGGACCGCCACGCCAGCCCAGTTCCGTAGTACAAAATTAAAAACCGTAAGTGCAATTATTTTTGTTCGGGGGTCTTTGCGTGCGTATATATATACACATATATACATGCGCATAAAGCATTACTACTGCTCCTACTACTGATACTATTACTACTCGTATTACTACAACTAGGACTACTAGTACTAGTAGTAGTAGTCGTAGTAGTAGTAGTAGTAGTAGTAGTCGTAGTAGTAGTAGTAGTAGTAGTAGTAGTAGTAGTAGTACTACTACTATTCCTACTACTACTAC